TATTTAAAGAATTAGATTCAATTTTTTATTTCATCAGGAAAACATTGCAATTCCTTTTGAATGAGACAATTACATGTATTCTTTCCCATTTCACCAAATTATTATGTAGTTAATGAAGTAATCTAGAAGACAATTCATTTAATTTTGTGTAGCGTCTGTTCATGTAAGAAAGTGGGTTGCTTAAACGTTATATCAGATCAAAATTTTCGATTTTACCTACATTTTTTTTTCTCTAGTGTGTGCTTCATCCCATATGCAAACCATTCTTCGACTTTTCACCAAGCTTTGGGCTTTCATAAAGTGGGTTGCTTAAACGTTATATCAGATCAAAATTTTCGATTTTACCTACATTTTTTTTTCTCTAGTGTGTGCTTCATCCCATATGCAAACCATTCTTCGACTTTTCATCAAGCTTTGGGCTTTCATAGCTCAACAATTAATGCTTGGCACATCAAGCTTTGGGCTGTCGTATCTCAACAATTAATTCTTGGCAAGAGAAGTTTTGCTTGAAATTTTGACAAAAGTTGTAAAGACCAACTCAAAGGGGAGGAATTGGTTGGAAAAGTAATGCGTGGGATACATATCTAATTCTACTTCAAATATCTTTGTCTCAATATATAAGTTCATGATTAATTAAATATTCAAAAAAAGAAATATTTTAATTTCACTCTGTAATTTTCGGTTACATAAAATATTTTTACTTTATTTTTTTTAATAAATGTAATTTGAAAATAAAAAAAATGTAAAAATGGTCCATCAATTTTGCTTGCAATTATCAGTTCATCAAACTTCAATTACAAGTATGAACAGACGATTGCACCTTCTTAAAACAAAGTAACACAGTGAACAAAATTCAATAATTGTCCTACATTCAATAGCTGAGGGTCAGATTTTCAAAAATAAAAATCTGTGTTCAAAGCTCGATTATAGCTCAAAAAAGAGGAAAAAAAAAAGAAATTGTCAAATGTATTATTAAATATGTTGTAAGCCACTTATAATTCCTGAATTTTCTTTTGGTTACCAATAATTCTGTCAATATCACATAAAATTATCGATCCAATTACAAGCAAACAGAAGATGAAAAAAAAAAAAAGAATAAAAAACCCTTCTAAAGTTTCTACATGCCGCTCAAATTCTACCCTGTTTTTCATCGTGCCTTTCAGCTAACAAAAGTGAACTTTAGCTGCCCAGATCTATATGACACTTGATATTCATAGAAGTTCGGTTTACAATATTAGTTTTGGTATTTATCCAAATGAAACAACGTTTTATTCCTTCCTATTATTTATTGCTGTTCATTATCTTCCCCCTTGCTGTAATTTTCAGGCTCCATAACAGAAAGATCAATAGCTTCTAAACTTTCCTGGAAAAGAAAATTGTTGAGAAACTGGCAATAACAACAAAATCTGAACTGCATTTAGGTTGCATATTTATTTTGTTCATAATTCTTCAAGCAAAATAATGGAAGATGTCAGAAGAACTTCTGAGTGTTTTTGTTTGACTCCCAAATCCACCATAAATCAAGATGTCTTCAGAAACAAAAGACTTGGACCACGCTTGCAATGAGATTTGCTAGAGCTCAGTCAGACATGCATATCCACAAAAAGTAAGCACCAAATTCAAAGCCGAAGTTAAGAAAACATGGAAAGGAATAACACATTTACTGATGCAATTTTGATTTGTTAATACCATCAGCCCAAAAAATGTCTCATTCTATGATTCAATGGGGGCAAAAGAAGAATTGGGGGGGGGGGGGGGGCGCAGCATACTCACAGATCAAGGTTACCATCAATCTTGCTGAAAAAATCTCCGCCAACAGGATGAAAGGAACTTATCAATCTGTTTATGACAACATCTGTGTCCACATTAAAATACTGTTTGTATGACAAGATACTAAACACTCCCTTCTAGTTGTTTGGTGGCTGTTGTTCAAATACTTCTGCAAAGGATAGACAAAGGGATCATTTAACATGGAGGTTCCTTCAGTAACACTAAATAAAAGCATTACGATGTCACCATCATGAACTACATCTAACAGCGACACCAGTAACTCAGCCACAATCTCCTAAGGTGTTTTAGAATGTGAATGCAAAATCATTAGTCTACAACTCTTCATTCTAAGTTAGAAGCGACACACGCAAACACAGAACCAAATAAACAAGGAGAGAATGCCCAAGGAAAGTTAAAAATATAAACAGAACCACCAAAACGATATAGGCATCAGGGGAAGGTTCATTTCAGTACTTCCCTGGCATACCGGATGTTACTTCCAATAAATAAAACCACTCAGACCAAGTCTCTGATATCTCAACACTAGATGTCGTGATTTTGAAGTTTGGGAAGAACAAAGTTTCCTTACTAAACGACACTTTAAGACCCTTTTTTATTTTTTTTATATATTTAGTATAACTCTTAATGTCATTAATCATTGCAAATATAGCAGAAATTTCAATTTTGTCACGTCAATAGCAAAAATAATCACTTTCTAATTATAAAAGTACAGAGTAAGTAAAAGAAAGACTGATAAATTTAACTAATTTTTCTTATATGGCAAGAAAATAAATTAAAAGAAAAAAAAAAAAAAGAAAATACAAGTTGGAGGTCCAAGAGTTTGATAAGCTCCACCACCACCTCCTCCGCTACACAATTTGGTGGAAATTTTGCATATTATGTAAAAGATGTAGAAATTGAGACTTAATTATGTAAGTTCATGAGTAAATACTAAAAAAATTGAAGATTTATATGTAAAGAATAATTTAAATGATAATTTTTTTACTTGTCGGTTAAAGTTTGATACTTGTTGAAAATGTTTTAAAAATAAAATTTTGAATGCATTAAATTGATGTAAAAAAATACATCTTAAATATTATTCGATAAAAAATGAAACTAGGATTAGACAAAAATTAAAATACCATTAATTGTGTTACTTTAAAAAAATTTTAATTTCATATTGTATCATATAGTTATTAATCAAATTTATAGTTAATATATTATCAATATATAAATTTTATATACTATTAATAAATTAAATAATTTTACTTCAAATCCAATATAAATTTTTATTAACTCTTAAAATAAGTACATAAATTTTTTTTAATTCAATAATAAATTGATATTATTTAATTCACTTATAATATATAAAATTTGCATATCAATAATGTATTAAATATAAATTTTCAATAATTTTATTGCCTTATTTTTTGTTGAGTCTTTATCACCTATGACTTTTGAATCTTCAATAATTGTCCTTCCAACTACGTCTACTAAAAAAATTATCTTAGTTGGATATGACAGAATCAATAAAAAAAGAAAGGAAGGATAGGATAAGTCATTGTTAAATATTTAAGATTTGATAGTTCAAATAAAAAATTTGTGAGCAGATTTATCCGTTATGGTGTCAGTTTCTTCCAAATTTCCTCTAATTTCCTATTGATTGGTTTGACAAACGAAAGATGACAAATTCATGTCATCTTCAATGTAAACCAGATATTATCGTTTTCTTTCACACGAAAAATAGAAACATGGTTTGGTCTTCTATTTGTTGTCAGTAAATACAAGCTTAGGGCTTTCGTATCTCAACAATTAATGATTGCTTGGCAAGAGAAGTTTTGCTTTGACAAAAGTTGTAGAGACCAACTCAAAGGGGAGGAATTGATTGGAGAAGTAATGCATGGGATATATAGCTAATTCTACTTCAATATCTTTGTCTCAAACATATATATGTATCTAAGTTCATGATTAATTAAATATTCAAAAAAACAAGTATTTTAATTTCACTCTGTAATTTCCGGTTACGTAAAATATTTTTACTTTATTTGTTTCAAAAATTGTAAGTTGAAAATAAAAAAAATAAAAAATGGTCTACCAATTTTGCTTGCAATCATCAGTTCATTAAACTTCAATTACAATTATAAACAGACGATTGCACCTTCTTAAAACAAAGTAACACAGTAAACAAAATTCAATAATTATCCTATATTCAATAACTGAATGTCAGATTTTCAAAAGTAAAAGTCTATGTTCTTTTTTTTTTTTTTGTAGGAAAAATTCAAGGTAAATAGATTATTCAATCCCTCAAGTCAAGATATCATGATAATTTAAAACAGATAGTTGCAGGTCGTATATTTAAAATAATTTCAACAAATGGTCATCGTCGAATCCAAGATTTTTTCGTCGAAAAAGACGAGCTTAACCGATTGAATCAACTACTTGTTAGGTAAGTAAAAGTTTATTTTAGAACTTTAATTACAGCTCAAAAGACAGAAAAAAAAAAAGAAATTGTCAAATATATTATTAAATATGTTGTAAGCCACTTATAGTTCCTGAATTTTCTTTTGGTTACCAATAATTCTGTCAATATCCCATAAAATTATCAATCCAATCACAAGCAAACAAAAGATGAAAACAAAGTCCAAAAAAAAAAAAAAAAAGGCAACAAACCCTGGATTCTTACATTGACTTGCTAAACCTCTTCCAATCCAACGTTGAGAAGTAGCAAGATTTTCCATGTGAAGTACTAGACAAGTTAACTATATAGCAAATTCTTTGAATTCTAAATAATTAAAGAATATAAACTTATAGTACGGGACAACCCATTGAATGTCAATGATCACGTGAAATAGCCCGTAAGTTACGCACAAATAACTTTTGCTAGAATAAAAAATATGGATAGTCAAATCCACCAGAAATAGCTAGCCCATAAGTTATGCACAAAAAACTTTTGCTAGGTTAAAAAAATAGATAGTCAAATACAAGAGCCTTTCACGTATCGCAACTCTATGGACTCAGAGCATCAGGCATGGTATATAGCATCAGCTTGAACTAACCAACTAGATCACTCTTGACTTTCAGGTTTGGGTTAAGCCACCGACGTCAGAAGACTAACGTCAGTGATGATATAATTACATATACTTCTCATTCCTTTATTCAATTGATTTTATATGACAAAGTTTAGTGGAAATGATAGTGTAGAATAGAGATTCTTTCTACTTTTGCTTTCCTGTCCAAAGTTAAATAGTCAGCAGCCCACAAAGGTTCACAACTTATAAATAAAAAAGAAATGCCCCCAGCATTAGGAATATTGTGCCAGATACAGTCATATACTTTGAAGTCCAAGAGAAAGAATAGTAATTTGGACTGTGTTTTCGATCAGCAGGAGAAATGGCGGAGGCTATTGTGTCCTTAGCTATTGAAAGGATCTCGGATTTGCTCATTCATGAAGCAGTTTTCCAGCAGGGTGGAGTTCGTGAGGAAGTGGAGCGCCTAAAGGCTGAACTCGAACGGATGGATAGCTTCTTGAAGGATGTAGACTATGAGCAAGAGCAAACCCAGCTTCATCGCACTTTGGTGAGACAAATCAGAGATCTTGCTTATGAAGCAGAAGATGTTATAGACTCTTACATTCTTGAAGTTGCACATCAAGGAGGCTCTCAGGGAATCATGGAGAGATTCGCGTCCACTTTCACCAAGCCTTTTCGTTTGCACAATATGGGGGTGCAGGTCAAAGGAATCCAGACAAAGCTTGAAGACATTTCCAAGAGTCTTCCAGCTTACAATCAGATCTCTGGAGGAAAGGAATCTAGCTCTAATTTTAGGATGCTGCAGCAGCAGTCAAGAAGAACTTATCCACATGTTGAGGAAGTGGATGTTGTTAGCTTGGGGGGCATGACAAGGGATGTTTTGGCTAAGTTGATGACAGAAGAAGATAGGCCTCATGTTGTTGTTTCCTTGGTAGGAATGGGGGGCATAGGTAAAACCACTCTTGCAAAAATAGTATACAATCACAATGATGTGAGACGACATTTTGATTGTTTTGCTTGGGCTTTTATTTCTCAAAAATGTATGCCAAGAGAAGTTTTGCATGATGTCCTGATAAAAGTTCAACCTCAAGAAAGAGAGCTAATTGATAAACTGACGGAGAATGAGATCATAGAAAGACTTTTTGATGTCTTGAGAGAAAAACGATATTTGGTAGTCCTTGATGATATTTGGAGAGGTGAAGATTGGAATTGTCTTAAACATGCTTTTCCACAAGGAAAAAGGGGGAGCAAAATTTTATTCACAACACGAATCATGGAAGTGGCGTCACTTGCAGCCTACACAATAGAGTTTCCATTTCTTACAGATGATGAAAGTTGGAAGCTTTTCAAGAGGAAAGCATTCCCTGAAAATACAACTGAGTCTGATGCTCGTTCAAGAGAATTTGAGATGCTAGGAAGACAGATGGTGAAAAAATGTGGAGGGCTACCTCTGGCAATTGTTGCTTTGGGAGGCTTGCTAGCAACAAAAAAGTCACTGGCTCAGTGGGAGATGGTTCAAACAAACATGCATGCACACTTAAACAAGGTGCAACAACAAAACCATGAGTATGGTGCAGTGGATGGAATTTTGGTTTTAAGCTACAATGATTTGCCTCATAATTTAAAACCGTGCTTCTTATATCTTGGCCATTATCCAGAAGATTGGGAGATCTCAAAGATGGAACTCATTCGATTATGGATTGCTGAAGGTTTCATTTCACCATCAATGGAAAGCGGAGGAATGTTGATGGAAGATGTTGCTGAACAATTCCTGGAAGAGCTGATAAATAGATGTTTGGTTCAAGTTGGCAAGAGGGACCGTACAGGAGTAGGTGTGAAAACATGTCACATACATGATCTCTTGAGGGACTTGTGCGTGGAGAAAGCTCGAGAGGATAATTTCTTGGAAATTATTCAGCCAATTGATATGACCTTGTCGGCATCTATGCCAAGAAGAATTGCTATTCATCCTACCAAAAGGTATGTTGCTTTGAAGGGAGAACATCCAAAGTTACGTTCTCTGTTGCTCTTTCAAAATGAGAAATTGATAAAATTGCGCATTTCAAAATGTAAAAACTTCAAAAATTTAAGAGTTTTGAAAGTTGTGGAAAGGAACAAAAACGAGTGGCATGTGTCAAGTGTAATCGGTAATCTGCATCATTTGAGATATCTGGGGTTAAAATGTTCTGGAAAAATCATCTTGCCACAATCTATTGGGAAGTTGAAAAATTTACACACTTTACACATCAACAGTTTTGGATTAACAATATCTTCTAATGCTCTATTGGAGTTGGAACGTTTAAGGCATATATTAATAGATCTTTTTTCTGGAAAAGGCTTGTGGATGCCGCCAAGGATTATTTCAAAAAAAATTGAAACTTTAAAGTACATTGGGGTTGAGAATTTAATTGAAAATAATGCAGTGTTCGGCTTGGCTAATATTCAGAGTTTAGGAATATATTTTATGAGATCAAAAGATGTTGAGCCTATCCTAAATGCACTGGTCGAATCACACCGCCTTCGGTCATTGGACATGAGGTTATCAGAGGATTCAAGCCAATCATTTCCAGACTTAGAACCCCTTTCTCAGTGTCATCACCTCTCTAAACTATTCTTAGAAGGGAAGATAGAAGAAGATCCACAATCAAGGCATCATGTTTTGATATTTGTTCCAGCAAGCATTGTCAAGTTAACTTTGTGGGGATCTGAGGTGAAGCAGGATCCACTGGCTGTATTGGAAAAGCTGCCTCATTTGAGGACTCTCCGCTTATGGTGGAATTCATACAGGGGGATTAAACTGATTTGCTCTGCCAATGGGTTTCCTCAACTCGACTCTCTTGAATTTCGAAGTTTATCAGAATTAGAAGAGTGGGAGATTGAAGAAGGCGCAATGCCACGTCTCCGAAGTTTATCTTTGGCTGATTTAGATAATTTGGGGAAGATTCCGAAAGGGTTGAGGTATGTTACTGCTCTCCAAGAAATGAGATTATATTCGATGAAGAGGTCATTTGTAGAAAGGATTCAAGTGATAGACAGGAGAGAAGGAGAGGATTTCTCTAAAGTCAGCCACATACCCTCCATCCAAATATTTGACACATTGGATAATTACTGAAAACTCTAATTTTGTAGGTGAGTTATTTGTTTTTCTATAAAATATTAATCTATTTTTTTTTCATTTGGGACAATAAATATTCATTTATCTAATTTCCTTTCCATAAGAGATGATGATATATGTCATTTTCATCTTGTTGTAGGTATAATAAGATAGGCACTGATAGGAGGCGGAGTTGGATGCTTTGTTTGAACATGAAAATCATCAGTGCCAATAGAAGCAAGAAAAGGCTGGAGGCACTTCGATTTACTTTTTGATTGTTTCAAAGTGTGATTTGTTTCTTTTTTCCTTGATAGTTGATTCTGATGATCAAGTGCTTTTAGGAAATGAATTGCTATGAGCTTTAATGAACTGGCTGTTTATTGATTTTCAATGTGCAGTGTATGAAGATTGTCCATGTGTTGATGGCAAGCTACTGATAGTTTTATTTTCTGAATTTTATTTTTTTTAAAGACTTTTTTCTTGTTTATTACTTTGTTTGACTGTTTCTTTTCACTAATAAACAGCATTGCTAGTGGACTGATAAGATAGAACAGCAGGAGGGTAAAAGTAATTCTTGATTGATGGAAATTTTCTTGCTCGATGACATAAAGATCAGTAGCAACAATACTTCTGAACTTTCCTGGAAAAGAAAATTGTTGAGAAACTGGCGATAACAGCAAAATCCAAGCTGTGTTTAAGTTGCATACTTATTTTTTTTCATAATTCTTCGAACAAAATAATGGAAGATGTAAAAAGAACTTTAGGGTGTTTTGTTTGACTCTCAAATCCACCATAAATCAAGACGTCTTCATAAACAGAAGACTTAGACCGTGCTTGCAATGAAATTTGTTAAAACATGGAAAGGAATATCATATTCACTGATGCAATTTTGATTTGTTAATACCATCAGCCCAAAGAGATTGAATGCTGCTTTACTATAATTTGTGCATCAATAAGTAACTAAAAGAATCGAATAGAAGAAAAAAGGAAGGCCCAGATGTCTTCCTAAGGGGGTTTATATATATATATATATATATATTTACTTATTTAAAGTTGTCAAGATTTAATTTATGATCATTGGAGCTAAAATTCAACGCTTTGCCAAAGACCACTCTACCAAGTACCAACAGACCTCACAATTGTTGGCCTTCCTGATCAGTCTTTGAAATCAGGAAAGCCAGCTCAAAGCAATCCCTAGTACAGAGAACAAAGCAGCAACTGCAATTTCAAAATCATTGATGATAAAATTGCAAAAGACAAGTACTCAATACTCATGAAAAGTCACTTCTGTAAAAGAAGGTAAAGTATTATTAAAATTTTAAGTTATAAATGTATTGATACATGTCAGTGATTTACGCAATTATCTAAAAGCTTGCACCTGGGAAAAGCAAATTCAAAGATGATCACAGTTGGTATCAAAATGTAAGTCACCCTCCATCTATTTTCATGGAAAAATATATTTCTCACTGCAGCATCACAAAATTTGCCACTGCAAGATGAACTGTGAAAGTTAAATGTATTGTGCTGTGCTATCACATAACCAAAATTAGCGAACCCATCATTTCAGTTGCAGATCAAACATAACTATAATTTTGTGGTAATATCTGCTAAAAGCATCTTCAATATTTCATAGGTCATGAAACATAGACCAACACATAGCACCACTTGGTAATATTCTAGCAATATCCCTCTAAAATTTTTATTAAAAGATGATATTTTTGGGTAACCAATTACACCTTATAAAAAAAATTAACAGCGACTTTGAAATTTTTCACCAAGTCTAGCGATCGAGTTTCCCATGGATGAAAAATCATTATGACATTTCTTATTAATTTTGTAGTCTTTTAAATGATTATATATTTGTTGGTTGCATAGCAAAACATAAATATTTCATTCTAGCTTACCCTTTTAAATTATTTGCTTATTGAAAGAAAAAAAATAAAAAAAGGCAATTTGTCTACTATTCAAGGGCTAGATTTATTCCACATTATTTTGTGTTATTGAAGCTTTAGATGTATGCTTAATTTGTTTCTGCAATTGAAAACAAATCCAAAGACAATTGAAAAAGATGGAAGAAATTGACACTTAAATTATATAAGTTCAGAAATAAAAAAGGATTTATATGTAAAAGTTAATCTAATTGGTAATTTTTTTTATCTAAAGTTTGATATTTTTGGCAAGTACTTTGTAGAGTAAAATTTTAAATACACTTTATTGATGTAGAGAAATACATTTTAAATATTATTTGAGATAAAATTTAGAGAAATTATTTAATATACTGTCAGTGAAATTTTTTAATTTTACAAATGAAATAAAAAAGTCACAATGGTCATATTTTTTTAAATAATTTTTTATTTTTTTTAAATATACACTAAAAGATATATGTCACCCAATCTCTCATAATATTAAAAAAACTAGTTGACTACTCGTGTGATGCACGAATTATTTTTATTTTATTTAAATTTAAATAAAAATATAAATTAATATTATTAAATTATGAACATGTTCAAAATATATATAAAACATAAATGGAAAAGAAAAGAAAAAATAAAATCCACCTTAAATGGAAGAGCAATAAAAAAATAATGTTAAAGTCTGTGAGAAGATGAAATATTGTTTGGAAAATAAGTTGAATAAAAAGATGATAAAGAACCAAGCTATATAATTTTATTTAATCCATAAATATATTTAAATAATAATTTTATTTATTTAATTATCTTATATTTAAATTAATTTTTCATTTAAATCTTGATAAACTTTAATCCAAAAACATATTTAAATAATAAATTTATTTATAGATAATATATATTTAGATAATAATATTTAAATTTTAGTATTTTATATTTTTATCTAATAATTTTTTTGATATTTTATATCTTGACTCTATTTACAATAAATATCTTGAAAAATTTTTACTATTGACATTTCTATTGTAGAGGTATGAGAAAGTTTAGAATCTAGATGGATTCTTGATAACCAATTTCTCAAACATATCATAAATTTAGATCATAAAATATTCTTGCAATCATATGACTAAAAGGTGTAGAAATTTTATATCAATTATGTTTAGCTACACATGAAAGGCTTAAGAAATGTTGTAAGTGTGGAAGTCTCATTGATACATTTGGCTTTTTTTTTTTTTTTAATTTTGAAAATTATGCATTTGCCTTTTGACTAAGTTGAATTGGTCCACTAATTGTTAGACAAATGGTTCCTATTTTGTAACATAGAAAATAATCTCTAATCTTCATTTTTGTTAAAGTTTATATGACTTTGTTAGTACCTGTGTTTGTTTATTTATATATATTTATATTTTCTTTATGAAATATATTTAAAAGTTGAAGATAATATAATAAGTATTTATCAAAAATATTAAAGATATTAAATAATATTTTTAAAAATTGTGATAAACTTAAATACATATTTTAACTATATTAGAACAGATAAATTACTTTAAATTTGATTTTAAATTAAGATAAAGTGATGTGCAAGATAAAAGAATTTCATTAGAATTTAACTTAATTTTTGATTAAATTTTAAAATTTTAGATAATTTAATAATTTTTAAAATATATTTTTTATAATTAATTTAAAATTAGTAAATATCTTATGTGTTATTATAATGAGAAATTTTAGAAATGATTTTACATGTCGAAAAAAAAAAAAACCTGTCCACATAAGTATTCACATTAGCAATTATTATCTAGTAACTATGTATGTTGTAATATAGTATATATATGATTTCTCTATTAATGTATTTGATAATTCCTCTAAAACTTGATGTACAATAAATAATATTATTATTTAAAAAAATTAATTTCACATTGTATTGTTACTGATTTTATTTCCTTGTTTTTATAATTTGTTGAGTGTTCGTCAGAAATGACTTTTGGGTCTTAAGTAATTGTCCTTACTCCTTTGCAGCCATTGCCATTAAAAAATTTTCAGGGTTGGATTGATATTAATTCATACACAGCAGAAGACTACTTTTTTTCCGTATATGACAAAGTCAATGACTACATGTTATTATTTTGTGTTTTGAATAACTATAATTAATAAATCTTCCCACTCCAACATTTTTCCTTAAAGTTTCCTATATTCATTTTTTTTTCTTAATGATTTTTTTCACTTTTCTTATAAAATTGATTAAATTTTAATACAAAAGAATTTGTAAACATCAACAGAAAAGTAAAAAAAAATGGGACAAATATAGTACCAAAGTAAAATTAAGGATTGAAATTAATTAAGGACTGAAATTAATGTTAAATATTATCTTTAATGTTAAGGGTTATTGTGCAGACTCTCAAATGAAGAAATAATTTTTTAAATTTCGTCTACATACGGAGGAATTTAGAAAAATTTTTAAAAACTAAAGATATTTATTTAATTCCTAAAAAGAATTTGTTTAGAAATATAAAGAAATTAAAGAAATTATTCTTAAACATTAAATTAAGACATTTTAATTAAAACTAAATGAGTAACAAATAATTAATTGGTACTTTTTTTTTAAAAAAAAAAGAGCATTGTGAAGATGCTAATATTTTTCTACGTATAATTAGATTATCCAATCCAATTTTGTTTTTGACAGATCCAAAAATTATCTTTTTAAATGATCTTAATTGATTTTAGGATTTTATTAAAAAGATAAATTTTTTTAGAAAATCAATCACACTTAACAAAAGATATTGATGATGACTTCTTTTATTTTCAAAATCGTCAAACAATATAGTTTTCGAATGTAATCGTTGTATAGAAACACTTGAAAAAGATGAAAGAAACTGAGACTTATCATGATTAAATACTAAAAAATAACTATTTATCTGTAAGGGTTAATTTAATTGATAATTTTTTGTATTGACACAAGACTAAAATCTTAAATGTATTTGACTGAGATAGAGAAATACATTTTAAATATTGTTCAAGAAAAAAAGTTAAGGTTAGATAAAACTGAGACACCGTTGGTCAAAAAAAAACTTGATTTCACATGGTACCTAATATTATATATATATATATATATAT